CCCACCCACCACACTCCCACCCCACCCCACCCCACTCCACCCCACTCCACCCCACGCCCACGCCCACCCCATCACCCACCCCCTACACCTCAACATGGCTTCTACGTCTGAGCCTACGGTGAGCCACTCGGGCTGGCTAACCAAGCGCGGAGCGCTCAAGAAGTCATGGAAGCGTCGTTACTTTGTCCTCGACGCCGAGAAGCAGCGCATGTCGTACTTTAAGAAGGATCCCTCGGCAAAGAAGAAGACAAAGCTCCCCATTGCCATCATCCCGCTCCATGTCTACACCGTACGCATTCTCACCTCCCTCACCTCCCCCTCCCCTGTTCCCTGCTCCCTGCTCCCTGCTGCCAACCACCACTACCACATGACCCCTGTTCCCCCCCCCCCCCCCCCCCCCCTCCCTCCCCCTTTTTCACAACACCGCTCCCGCTCCCATCGCTCCCACCGTCATCATGTCCATCATGTCCATCATGTCCATCATGTCCATCATAACCACCCCCTCCCCCTCCCCCCCCCCCTTCCTCTCCCCCGCCTCCTCTCTCCTTCACTAGCTTTGATGCTGTGTGATGTGGTGGTGTGTGTGATGTGGTGGTGTGTGTGTGTGTGTGTGTGTTTGAAAGGGAAAGCTACTCGACTCGGCTCGCCCATGCCAATTTCAACGAAAAACATATTTACTCACAGTCACGTGTACACCCGCCCAACCCAGTATGTTGCTCCTGTCGATGAGTCGGTTCATCAGAAGGATCACGAGTTCCAGATCTCGGGCGCTGGGCTGAGGACGTTCTTCATGGCGGCAGACTCGGAGGAGGAGAAGGATGCGTGGATGAACGTGTTTCAGGGCATGGGCATGAAGTTGGTGCCGGCGGGCGAGGAGCCGCCAAGCGGCGTCTACCATGCTGGCTGGCTGTACAAGATGGGCGAGTTTCATCGGACGTGGCGCCGGCGGTACTTTGTGCTCGACGGTGCTGCCGTCTCGTACCACGAGAGCGTTGACGACGCACAGGTCGGCCGCCGCAACGGCTCGTTTACGCTCAAGGACTACGAGACGCTCGACCTTGTCGACGAGGGCGAGCACGGCAAGCCGTTCGAGTTTTGTGTCACTGGGCCCGGCCGGAGAACATATTACATGGCGGCAACGACCGAGACCGACCTCCTCGATTGGATCGACGCCTTCCTCAAGGTTGCCCGGCTGGAGAAGACCGAGCGGCTGCAGGCCTTTGTCGACCGCAACGGCTACCGTGTGACCGGCCCGAACGAAACCGGCGGCTACGCCGTTGTCGCCGCCGCCGAGACGCCCGCCAAGGTCATCGACATTCCACCATCGGCCCCGGTCTCGTACGTGGTCAAGGTCATCAACGGCCACCAGTCATTCCATCTCACCATCTCTACCGAGCAAGTCTCCTTTGTCTCGCGCTCCAACGTCAAGAACTTCCCCTTTACCCAGATCTACTCGTACGACTTCCAGATGACCGACGGCGTGCCGGTCATCACTCTTCACCCGCGCGTGCCAGGCACCCGCAAGTGCAAGGTGTACAAGATCGTGCCCGAGAACGAGGCCATCCTGCACCATGTCAAGGCCCGCTTCGAGGCCATGATTCAGCTCGTCATCGAGTCCCGCAAGCTCTTTGTCACCGTCAAGAAGGCATTTGTCCCGGTCTCGGAAAAGGACGTCGCCGTCGACGTCGGCGAAGAGGTCACCATCGTCAAGACCGTCAAGTCGGGCGACCTCCTCATCCGCAAGAAGGACGGCACTGCAGGTACCATCCCCGTCGACTGCGTTGACATGCCCAAAGCTGCCCGCCTCAAAGCCAAGAAGGGTCGCCGCCAGTCAAAGGTCCCCGTCGCCGCCGCAGGCGGCATCGGCGACCTCGTCGCAGACTCGGGTCTGCCCGCCAACGCCGACGTCAACGCTGCCGACGCCGCCGACGCACAGTCCAACTCGGCCGCCGCGCCCTCCGCCTCGGCCTCGTCCACCACCGCTCCAGACACCTCGGCTGCCGCCTCCTCCTCGTCATCCTCGTCTTCGCTCGACTCGTCCGGCTCGTACTCCTCGTCTTCCGACTCGGACTCGGACTCGGACTCGTCGTCTTCGTAGCTGAGCCGCCCACATACACTCAGAATCACACCCTTATATGCCTGGTCCGCTTCATTGTTTTGCCGTTGCTACTCCTGCTTGCGCAGCTGCGGCGTATGTGCACTACGGCACCAACTTAGATACCGATTCGCCGCAGCGGCGAGCGGGTTTTGCGGGTGAGCGGCCAGACAGTGTCAAGGAACTTGTCGGTTGCAGCCTCGCCAGCAGCAATGAGCGCCTCGAGGCGCTCGGCAGTCATGGCGAGCTCCATTGTATCGTAGCCCTGTGCAGGGAGCGGGCAAACGAGGTCGGGGAATGCTTCCTGGATGGTGTGATAGCCGGCAGAGAGCGCAGTGTCAAGCATGCCGGAGAGGTACTTGACCGGGCCAAACGAGGTGACGGCGGCGACGATGCCGCTCGACTCGGTGTGCGGCGGCGGCGGCGCGTCCGGCACCTCGAGGTCGTCGTCGATGAGGAAGCCGATCATCGGCCGCATGTCTGCCTCGTACTTGAACTCGTGCTCACGGCCCATGGCGTGGATGACAATAGGGTCCGAGTCAAGGAGGAGGTCGAGCGGAAAGACGTCCACAATGCCGCCGTCGACGACCCGCGCCCCGATGACCTCGCTCCCGCCCATGTAAAGACCCCACTCCTCCCGCCAGACCACGTACCGGTACGCCGCAGGCAGCGCCATCGACATCCGCACCGCCCACGCCGCCGGGCAGTTGGGCGCCGTCCGGTGGTTGAGAATCAGCCGCTGCTCGTTGGTCACGTCGGCAGCAACCACCGTCAGGTCTGCCGCCGTTGCCTGGTACAGGTCCTCCAGCGTCGGCTCCGGAATGTGGCCCAGCGCCTCGGGGTAGTACTCGTGCATGAGGTCGTTGAGGTAGTGCACAACCATCTCGCCCACAAGCGCTCCGCCGAGCTCCACCACAGAGTGCCCGAGCCGGAACAGCTGCGAGTGGTTGAAGAGCATGTTGACCACGCCCCACTGCAGAATCGAGTCCACAACCTGGGGCACCAGCGGCGGCGAGATCGCTCGGAGCGCCTTCATCACCAGCGAGTCCTCGCGGTCTTCTTGGGGGCAGTCCTTCGGCAGCGGCAGGTCGAGCATGACAGCCTCCATCGCCGGCTTCACCTCGCCCACGTTGTTCCGCATGTCCGACAGGATGGTCCTGTGCAGCTCCGCAGGCGGCACGCCGATGGCCAGCATCATGGCGTTGAACGCTCCGGCAGACGTGCCCACAATCCGCCGGTGCTTGAGCCCGCGCTTGATAAGCGCCTGGTTGGCTCCGATGAACACGTTGCCCTTTGCCCCGCCTCCCTTGAACACAAGGTCGATGCCCTCCGCAAGAAGCTGCTGCCGGTCCACCGCCCCGCGCGAGAGCCCATGCGCACCGTACCCGTACTCGGGGTTGACCGGCCGCACCGGCGACGACAGAGACCGCGCCGCCAGGGGGTTTTCCTCCTGATACCGCTTCGCCGCGCTTCTGTGCTTCTCCGACGACTGGTACAGCTCGCGCCAGTCGATTGTCCGCGACTCGGCCATAGCGGACCGCGTCACGCGCTCGCCCGTAGGCGTGATGCCCACCAGTGGATCGCCTATCGACGACGCTGCCAGCGTGATGTTGAGCGACTGCGGCGCGGACTGGTACGCACTCACAGGAAGCGACTTGGCCACGGCCTCGACAAGCTCCTGCGGGTGTGACGAAATCCACCGCTTCGAATGCGATTGCGCCGCCGCGGGAAGGTGTACGTTCGGCATGGCCACAGAGTAAATTCGCTTGGCGTACCGCGTCCGCCCCGGCGACGAGCACCGCGCCGCAGTCTCCTCCAGCGTGCCCATCCACTCGGGCTCGTATGCATCGCCGTTGTACCCGTCGCTGTAGCCGGCTGGCGACGGGTGGTACTCATTCAGCCCTGTCATGTCCACCACAGGCCGCGCAAACTGGACCGTGCCAGTATCAGAGCACGAGCTCGAGTTCGACTTTGATGCCGATCCCTTTGCTTCCACCGCTCCCACAGTCTTGGGCTCACTCTTCTCGGCATGGCCAGCCACTCCACTCGCACCCTCGTCGTCCGACCACCAGTCCGACTCCGAACCCTTCCCCTTGCCAATCGAGACCTTCTTCTGCTTGGCCTTCTTCTGCTGGCGCTTGTCTGCACGCGACCGCTTGCGGTTCGATTGTCGCGACTGCCGCCCACTCAAGCCTCCCGAGCCACGACGGGACCGCCCGCTCGAGCCTCCCGAGCCACGACGGGACCGCCCGCTCGAGCCTCCCGAGCCACGACGTGACCGCCGCCTCGCCCGCCCACTACCGGACCCGGCATCGGGCGCGACGCGCCTCGCCCGCCCGCTACCGGACCCGGCATCGGGCGCGACGCGTCTCGCCCGCCCGCTACCAGACCCAGCCTCGGGCGCGACGCGACTTGCCTGCTTCTCCTTGTTCCGCCGCTGTTGCCGGAGCCGGGCACTGATCCGCCGCGGCGTGAGCTCACCGATCGATGTTCCGGTATCCGAGCCATAGCAGTCGATCGTGAGGTTGTCGACAAAGCCGGCCGTCGGGCCGGCGCTTGCGGCAGCAGCGGCGAGAGCGGCGACAATGTCGTTGTTGTCGCCATCCTCATTGCGGCGCTTCCGCCCGGGGCGTGGCGAAGGGGAAGACTTTGACGGCGACGATGGAGTCGACGACTTGCCCGGCGACGGCGAGGAGATGGGATGGACCAGTCCGCGAGAGCCGCGGGACGAGCTCCTACGGCGGGCGCTCACCGAGCCGTCGAGCCACTCGCCGCCCACCGATGTTGCGCCGGGACCCTCGGGGCTTCCCACCGGAGACACCGAAGTTTCGAACGGTTCGGCAAAACCCGCTGGTTGCATGGGCCACATTGACAACATGCTGCCAGTGGACGAGGCGACAAGGTGGGACGAGCCGGAGCGACGAGCAGAGCGGCGGACACTCATGCTGCGGCGGGCACGCCCGGTCGACAAGGGCTAGCAGCGGTTGGGCGTGGGGCACTCACTCGGCCTCCACCTCCGCCGCCGGCGGCGTCCGAGTCGCCAGCGTCAGTTGGCGACCGCACCGAAGTACTGGCCGTGACACTCTCAAGGCGAGCTGTGGCACGGTCTGTTGAGGCAATAAGGAAGGACTCAGACATGACTACCTCGCTACTACCTGATATGCAGGCGCCTTTGCTTGGAGAGAGCTGTGTCTCTTGTACACCACTTCCTCTTTGCTCTCCCCCCGCTCTACTCTCGCGTGAGGAACTTATGGAACGCTCTCGATTTTGCCATTCATCTCGGCACGCGCCTATTCTCCGAAAAAAATTATACAAACGTTGCAAATCTGTCGCCGGCATGCGTCGCCTCACGTGCGCATTGCGCTGTCCCGCAGTTGCCTTTCCTGGAATCATCCATGACTTTCGCATTATCGTCATTGCTACTGCGGCTCACTCAAGCTCCTCCCTCTTTCCTCCCTAACAAACAACGCCGCTATGTCCCGGCGCCGCTCCTCAGTCGTTGCCGCGGTCGTCTTGGCGCGCATACCAGGTCGCCGTCGCCGGAAAGAGAAAAATATATTTCCTCCGCAGACCGCTTCGGTCGAAAGCGCGCCAAAATTGTTGTACCTGGAATGGCCCCATGTGCCGGAGGAGGGAGGGGGGGGGGGGCATTTTTACTTTTTATTGACAGATTTGTCCATCGCGGCCCGCCGCTCCTCCGGATCGGCGCCGTGCAGCACCTCGCACGCATCGCCCATGCTCCCAGGCGTCCGTCACCGCGACGGCAACTCGGGCATCCTTCAGGCGGGCGTCTACGTGTCGGCCGTCATCACGTGCGGGCGCGCCTCCCACCGGGAAGTCAGGCATCATCGAGTTGCTCACTTTGAAACGCGCGACAACGCGTCCGAGCGACCGTGCCGCTAAGGGTTAATCGCGTCCACCGCCGCTGTTGCCGCCACCACTGTCACGGACAATGCGCGAGAGGACAGCCATAATGCCCTTGAGATGAGTTCCCTCCTTGGCAGAGACCGGAAGGACAGGCATGGCTGTCCGGCTCCGGACAACTTCGACGAGGACTTCCGCTAGCGGCTTGTGGTCGATCTTGTTGGCGAGGACGAGAGCAGGCTTGCTCACCAGCTCGCGGTCGTACGCCGCAAGCTCGGCGGTGAGCGTGGCTAGCTGCTGCCACGGCGACGCTGCGAGGAGGAGCTCGCCACTTGTCGCATCGGTGGCCGGATCATCGGCGCCGGCGACCACGTTGTCAGCGATGGCCGCCGCCACAGCATCATCCGAGCCGTACATCGAGAGCGCATGGGCCGAGAGCGGCGGCGCGAGGTCGACAACATACGCAATGACCGCATTCCGCTCCACATGTTTGAGGAACTGGTGGCCGAGCCCGATGTTGGCTGCCGCGCCAGCAACAAGGCCCGGCAGATCCGCCACCCGGAACGTCTCGGCTCCGGTCGCGCCGGCGTCGCAGAACGCCACCGTTCCGATCGACGGATGGAGCGTGGTGAACGGGTACGAGCCGACTCGCGGCGAGGCCCGCGACATGGCCTCGAGCAGCGACGACTTACCGGCGTTGGGAAAGCCGACGAGTCCGACGTCGGCCATGACCTTGAGCTCGAGCTCCATCTCGGCCACCTCGCCGTTGAGGCCCATGGTCCGACGCCGCGGAATGCGGTTGGTCGACGATGCAAAGTGAATGTTGCCCAGCCCACCGGGTGCCCCGCGGGCGACTACCACCTCCTGGCCCTCCTCCTCGATTTCAAACTCGATGTCACGGACCGTCGGCTCGTCGCCGACTCCGTGCGCGGCACCATCGTCCACCACCAGCATCCCTGCTCCGGCCTCGACCACCGACTCGGGCACAACCTTCTTGCTCCACCCGGTCACTGTTGCCCGGACCACCGTACCCAGCGGGAGCTTGATCACCGCGTCCTTGCCTTTGCCGCCGTGCTTGGCCGATCCCTGCCCAGGCGCCCCATCCCGTCCGCGGACTTGAGCACGGACTGTCTGCAGATCACCAACACTTCCATCGCCCACCACCACCACTGACCCTCCTTCGCCACCGTCGCCTCCGTTCGGCCCACCAAACGGCCTCGCCCGCTCACGGAGGAACGAGACACAGCCGGTGCCACCGGCTCCTGCCTTGGCCACCACCCGCGCAGAGTCGACAAACCCGCCCTTGCGCGTCGCATGGCCCCACCGCCGCCACAGTCCGCTGCGGACGACAGCGCTCGTTGTCCGAAGCATTGAAGGGGGGGGGGGGGGGGGGGGGGGGGGGGGGTAGGGTTGAGTATGGGTGAGGAGTGGCTGCCGCTGCGGTTGTGGTCGGCCGAGTCGGCCGCAGAATCTCGGCGACCCGGCGGTCGGCGACGCGCTGGCACGCTTGGCGATATCTTGGTGGAGACAAGCTAGTCGTTTTCTCTGAGAGCCTGATCATGGCCTCTTTACAGTGCCACAATGACAACCCAGGTAGAGTATGACACAACGCCCATGGTGACGAGCAGAATGAGCGCAGAGAGAAAGTGGGTGGTGGTGTCGGCCTCGGCTTCGTCGAGCATAGTCATGAGGCGGATGACCGCGAGGACGGCCGTGAGTGCAATCGCTTCCAGCCGATGTGCACGGGTCTCGGCGAGTGGGTGCCACTGGAGGTGCGCAAAGAGGCCGAGCGCAACAACGCCGGCTAGGACGCCGTCGACAAACACAGACGTGCGCGGAATGATGGCGGCGGCGGCTGCAATCGCCACACGTCGCCCGAGCACCACTCCTTCAAACCACCACGCCGCCTCCCGGTACGGCTCCCACACAAACGCCAGCGGCGACTCGCGCTCTTCGTCCACCCCGTGCACATGACCCAGAAGCGGCTGGCACGCCTCGTCGTTCTCGCTCTCCCTTTCGGCATCGTGCACATGAGCAGCGCGGGCGACCTGAGCTGCGCGCGCCACGCACCCAATCACACACGCCACACACACCAGCACTCCGCCTCCGCTCACCATCAGCTCCACATGCTCGCTCGATCCACACCGGATCCATGGCGCGTCGTTGAGATACGACGCGTCGACGCCGGGCGTCGGCTCGCGATTGCAGCCAAACATCGCCAACGACCGCTGCACAATCGGAAAGACAAAGAGATATCCCAGTGTACCGGCAGCAAGCACACCGCGATGCGCAGCCTCGCCGCCCACACCTGGCAGCATTCCTAGTCCAAAACAAAACGCTGTTGGCCCAGCCGTGAGCGCCATAAACGTCCAGTACTCGCCAAGCCGCCCGACCCCCAGGCAAGCGAGCCCGGCCACCGTGAGGCTCGCACGCTCCAGTGCCCCGTGCAGACTCTTGAGCATGCTCGACTCCTCCAGCGCAGACTCGGACGATACCAGCACCACGCCGATCGTCTGCAGGAAGACGACCGTAGTCTTGAGCGCGGCCTCGGCGACTTGAGCGTGCGCAGGCCGACCCGCCACCGCATACAACGTCAGCGCCACAAGACCAATCCCGAGCGCAGCCACTTCCCACACCTCGGCCAGCCCCATCATCGCCATCGCCACCACCACCGCTGCTTCTAACGCCAGAGAAGCCACCACCGCCTTGATTTTTCCGCTCTGCGCCCGCAGCCGCGCCCACAGCGACGCCGGTGCTAGCTGCGTCGAACCCACGAGCTCCACCACAACGTTCGGGTCGGTGCGCGGGAGCAGCACGTACCCGCTCAAGAGAACAAGAAAGCCAGCCATGACGCTACCAAAGACTGCCGCTGCCACACTACTGCCTAGCTTGCATCGCCTGCACTCGCCGATCGCCGCGCCGGGGCTGAACCATCCGTCGGCGCACTCGGAACAAAGCCGCCCCTGCTGCCCATCCGCACACTTGCCGTCGCCAGAACACGCTTCGGTGCTCGGGCACTTGAGAAAGTACCCAGGATCAGACGTCGGGTAGTTGCCCTCGGCAGCCTCGGGCGCGGACAGCCCGCCTGCACACTCGCCACCGCGCGGGCAGCTGCGGCATGCCACCACCGGTACTTGCGCCGACCAGAAGCCAGACTCGCATCCGCATCCCGTCGTTCCGCCCCTCCCCACCGCCATGTGCACCGCGTTCGCTGGGCATGGACACACCAGCGCTCCGTTCGCTTCGCGCGTCGGTCTCAGGTCACCCACACATCCGCTCACCTCGACCTTCACGCGCGGCGCGAAAAACCGCGGTGTACCTGATGCTGCAGACACAGCAGCAACTCTAAGCTTGAGAGACGTGTCCAAGCTCGCCTCGCTCGTTGCCGCGAGTGAAACTGCAGACAACGACGTCGTGTTGGAAGTAGATACAATCGACGGCGAGCCGCCAAAGGTAGTCATACCTGGCACGGGCAACACCGCAACCAGCAGCGCCGAGTCCACCACGTAGCCTCCAGCGCCATCGACAAGAGCAACCGCAAACGATGGCGGGAACGGAAAGCCAGAGACCATCTTTGTTCCGCTCAACTCGCTCACAGGTCTTGTCCACAACACTTGCGTCGGTGGCGTTGCAACCGGTGTTCCCCACGATGCCGCGCTGCACATCGCCTCGAGCGCAACCAACGAGGCTCGGCTTGTGTTGACCAGCTTTCTGAGTGTGATCTGCTCGTCAACCCTGTCGAGCGCGCAAGCAAAGGCAGCGGCGCCACCGTGGGTAGCAGAGTTGCCCCAACCCACTATCTCGCTCATGATCACCGAACCGCCGCACGTGAAGAACACCCCGCCATACGCGCTCTTGCTCTTGCTCAACACATCGCTCGCAAAAACCACATCAAGCGGCTCGATCATGCTCACGCTCGGTAGGTCCACCATCCCAAAGTTTTGCGCGTTGATCGCGCGAAGGCTCATCTCAACCTCCAGCGACGCGATCGCAAAGACCGCACCCATCCGGGCAAGGTTGACATCATAATGGTTGCCTTGCGAGGCAAGCGATGACGAACCGAAAGACTATACACCCCACCCCAAGTTCCAGCTCCATTCGTTTCCAGCATCGAGCTGGTCACCCGAGCAGTAGAGTCATCGCCGTCCATCACCATCATACCGCCATCAAGTTCCGCCGAGTTGGCTGCCATCGTCGCATTGACAATCTCGACCACGCCGCCGTTCTCGCAAAACAAAGCACCGCCCCGAAGAGCCCGGTTCCTCACCACATCAGAGTCGCGAATAGTCAGGCGCGACGTGCCTGCTCCCGAGCTGATATACGCAACACCGCCGCCGGCACTCGCCCCGCACGACTCGATGAGCGAACTCAGGACCTGAGCAAGCCCTCCGTTACTCACCACCATAACGCCGCCGTATCCGGAGCCAAGGACCGTCATCGTTGTGCCACTTCCACTGCCATAGTTGCTGAAATGCGAGATGTGGACATCGCGCAGAACAAGCGACGAGCCGACACCATCGACTCGCAGCGGCGGAGCACCGTACAAGCTATCGACAGACCTGGCGTCGCGGAGACTCATGCGCTCCAACACAAGCGAAGAGCCTCCCGAGACTTTGAACAGAATGCCGCCAAGAAATCCGCACGCCACAGCCGACGACTCTCGAGAGATGCCGCGTATCACAGCTGGGCGCGTCACAACAACATGCGAGTCTCCGCGGCAGAACTGCAGCACGCCGTCAAACACCAGTGTGTTCGTTCCACACCGCGATGCAGACGCCATCGAGCTGACAAGGCAAGTCAATGAGCTCGGATTGTTGCACGCCACGGTAGCCCCTGGAACAGCCACGGTGCTCGCCGGAAACGGACTCGCTGCCCACGGCGACGGCTGCACGAACAATACCGCCGGCAACTCGTAGACGGCGAAAAAGTCAACCCAACCGTTGCCATCAAAGTCTGCCAGTGTCGCCATAGTCATCGCTTGCGGAATTGGCGTCACCACGCTGATCGGCTCGCCCAGTCGGCCCGAAGCAAGCGCAGGCCAAACAGCCACCTCCTTTGCACAGACGAGGTAAAGATCAAGCCCGACGCCGACTGCGCTCGGAGGCACCAATCGTGCCAGCCCCAGCAGCGTGCACGATGTGCTGCTGCTCGGAGGAGCGAGCGCTTGCACCAGCGAGCCCGAGGTGTACGCCACAACCACCGAGACGTTGGGCGAGGTGACAAGGACTGCCACGTCATCGCGAGCATACAGCTCGCCAGCCGGCGACCCAATCGGTCCAGAAGTGACCACTGAAGCCGGGCCAGGCAAGTCCGCCATCACCACGACCTTCCAATCATCATCAATCTCCTCGGGAGCTGACGCGAGAACGAGCTTGTTCGCTGATGAAGCTGTTGCGATTGCGAGCGACGCATTGCTGCTTGTCGACGTACGCACAACAGCAACCAGCGGCATCTGCGCCGCTGCATGTACAAGATCCAGTCCTGTTCGTTCAAAGTCCCGAGTACTGAAATCGACAACGTAGAGAGTCGGAGACGTGTCAAAAGCACTACCAACAACAAGAAGTTGGGGTTGTTCGATTCGAATGCTCGCCCGGCCACTGCGCGATCGAGTAGCACACCAGGAGGGGCGTCAAGAGCCGCCACCGGCTTCTGCCAACTCCCACCACCGATGTTAGTGGCAACAAAGATGGCGCGTGACGAAACGTATATCAGATCGAGTGCCGCATCGCTATTGACGTCGATGAGCACGAGCGAGTCCGAGAGGCTCGAGGAAGCGCTGCCATACGAGGCCTCATCAAACGACGGTCCCGACACTTGCTGGAACAAGCCCTGCACTTCGCTGTTCACCACGTTGTTGAGAAAGGTTGTGATAGTCCCGGTAATCGAAGAGACAACCACAACGTCGGGCTCAACGTCGTTGTTGACAAGGCCAACGACGTAGAGATGGATTCGAGACGGAAAGCCGTCACCAGCGAGGTAGTGGCTGGTCAAATACGGCGGCGGAATGGCGAGGGACGGGAGCTCAACGGCAACGTCACTCTGGATCACAACCTGGTCGCCACTTAGCGCCGCCTGCACAAGCAGCAGCGGACTAAAGCCGGACGGACCAGTCTTGCCACGCGCAGCGACCAGCCGGACCGAGGTCGTTGAGACAACACTTGTCGCCACCAGTGTCGAGAGGCCGGTAAAGGCACCGGTCTCGGCACCGATGCCGTCGGCCTCGAATCGGACCGTGTTGACGCTTGCCACACTCGTGGCGAACGAGAGGATCATCGTAAAGCCGAGGGTGACCGACGGAGCATCCGGGCGCGAGCCACGGAAGACAACTGGCGCGGCCATGGTGCCAAAGGCCTCAAAGCCTCCGCGGGTGTGCGTCTGACTGGTAATGGCAAATGAGGGCGCAATGGCGACCGCAAAGACGCCCGTGGTCGAATCGATGTGCGAGATGCCCCCGAGAATCACATCAGTCACACCGTCGCCGTTCACGTCGGACGCAAGTAGCGCACTGAACGCAGTCGGTGTGGAACTCGAGGGCCAGGCCAGTCGCCGCCAAGGAGCAGCCAGTGACGGTTCATACAACAAGACCCGGCCATCGGCTGCCACCACTGCCAGCGAGGGCGAGAGGAGCACAAGACCGGCTGCGATGCGGACAGGCTGCGGCACGAGTGCTTGGACAAGCACCGGCGGCGTCGGCAGCGGTGCTTCAAATACAATCAGCGAGACTTTTGCTGATCCAGTGGCAAGCTCTGTGTGCTCTGTGTGGAGGGCAGCGAGCACCAGCGGCGACCCCTCTGCCACCCACGCATCAAGCGTCTGGATCGAGTACAGGGACAGCGTGCAGTCGACGATCGACTGGCCAAAAACAGTAGGATCAGCAGTGCCTGGATAAACCCAGAGTGTGCCGTTTGGCCCGCCCAGAGTGTGCCGTTTGACCCGCGTGTCATTCCGACAACAACATCGACGTAGCTAGATGTGCCTGGCACATCCAACACAACGAGTGGGCCAAAGGAGTAGCCCTGGGGCGGTCTTGCCACCACCACAGCGGTAGTCTCTTGCGCATCGTCCAGCGAGTCGCGGCCAGTAGCAAAGCGGTCCGTTGTTGCTCCAGGATAATGCGCAATCAGCCAAGTGCCAAACGAGCAAATGCTCGGCCCTGATCCAGCTCTGTCACAGCTCGGCATGACCACCGACGAGAGAGTGCCATTGAGACGGAGCGTGTCAAGCGGGGCGAGGCTGACCGGGCCGGTACCACACTGCGCCAGCGGGCGAGAAGCGAGGCAGCCAGCTACGCAGAAGACAACCGTAAGAAGTGCAACAACCGGTAGCGGCATGGTACTCGGTGGTAGTGGTGGGGAGAGGGGGATATCAGTAGTAGTGACAGAGAGAGTGAGGTGGTGGTGGCTGTGCGGTGGCAGCGGGCGTGGCAGTGGCTGCGCTCGCACGCTTTGATCGACAGCGTGACTTAACTGAGGTGCGAGGTGTGTGTCATTTTTTTGCCGGGCCATTGCCGATGACGAGACCGACACTACGGACTGGACTACCTTGCCCATCATGCAGCACACCTACATGCTAAACAAAAGGGGACGACAGCGGGTCCACGAGAAGGTTCCATACCAGATGAGCGCCTCATGTGCACCAGCCCGGTTGAGCCATCTTTCACTCAAGCTGGCATGCCTCGTCAACAATAGCAATCAAAGACCACCATCGTAGCCATTGGTACTTCTATGTCGTGGCTAGGGGACATTGGCGAGCAGTTTTACAAGCTTGCAATGAACATGGCCCTCGTAGCTGCAACCAGACGATTGCGAGTCTCTTGACCGACGACATCGGCGGCTGGAGTCGACAGCGAAGGCTCGCATCGCCAAGGGCCGACGATGGAGTGGACAGGTCGGACCGTAGCTTACACGGAGCTGAAAGAGAGAGAGAGAGAGAGAGAGGAGAGAGAGAGAGAGAGAGAGAGTGAGAGAGAGAGAGAGAGAGAGAGAGAGAGAGCGCACGCGATATGACAGTGTTGACGGCAATCGCATGTGTGACAAGGAGCGGCAACACTCTATAGTGGCCCGATGATGGCGTCGACAAGGCGAGCGAGTGTGTGAGCAGCGGACGAGCGGTCGCGGCGAGTGCGGGTCAACCACAGCAGGAGAGGGCCGAGGTATTGGCAAGGCCACACCGCTCGTGTAGAAGAGCGAGGAGGGCCATGGGCGGGAATGGGTCACACGAAGCCAGTCCAGATGACAGTGGTAGTGTCAATGGTGGTAGGGCGGGCAGAGTCATTCCGGCCATTCCTCCACCTGCTGCTGGGGATGGCCGACGTGAGGAGGCATGCTGGCGATGCGGACGGACGGTGCAGGCAAACGTGGCTTCCAGGGGAATGAGTTTGACGGGAGATGCATGGCCTGCTGCGAGTGGTGCTTCATTGGCTATGGATGGCGTGGATGAGCCTGCTGGCGCTCAGTCCGAATCATGGAATGGCGATGACCATCGTGACCATCGTGATCATATTGGTCGCACCCGTGGTGCCCCGGCCCAGAGATCACGAGTCCGCGCCCATGCTGTGGGAGGGACAGGGGCGAAACGCTCGCCTGTCCGTCAGTGGGTTGTGTGCACCACCTGCCCAGCGGTCTACTGCTCGGCAGCATGCAGAGATGCGCATCGGCTCGAGGGCCATGCTGACGTCTGCCGCGGACAGAGTCTGGATGGTGCGACGGAGACAACAGCAGCCGAGGCTGGCGGAGGGCCGAAGATGAAGAAGAGCAAGCGGAAGCGGAAGCGAAAGCGGAAGGCCAAGGTCAAGGCCAAGGCAAATGCTGATGATGAAAGCGAGGTTGAGGAGTTACCAGCGGTCAGCGCCCCCGACACGACTCCAGGCCCCCCCTCGCCACGGCGGCGGCGACGGAACAACCGCATCGGCGCTGCGCCGGTGGCCGAGACGCAGCCGGCGCGCGGCACGACGCCATTTCCAGTATACAAGTCGCAGGTGGCACGGCCTGTGGTGTCGCGGATCGATCGGCAAGCCGCAGAGTTGCGCGAGCGAGAGCGGGCGGCCCAAGTGGCGGCCAAGAATCAGGCGCGGATGTCGGCGGCGGCGGCACGGCGCGAGGCCAAGCTCAAGGCGGTGGCGTCGCGAATGGCGCAGCTGGCCGGGAGCCGGGGCGAGAGTGCGGGCAGACCGGCGCCGCGGCCGGAGCTGGCGCCACACACCCAATCGCCGGAGGAGACCAAGACCGCCGAGAGCCTGCTGGAGGCCTCGCTGCGTCGGCAAGAGGCAGCGGCGGCACGGCGGGCATATCAGGCACAACTCATGGCAGCGCGGCCAGTGCGAGTTGCCCGCGGCGGCAACCTGGTGGTGGCGCGGGCCCTGCCGCTCCCGTCGCCGCCGCCGCTCTCGACGCTCCGGCACCCGGAGCGAGCTGCGACGCGGTCAGCGACGCGGTCGGCAACACGGTCGGCATCTCCAGATCCTCTGCCACCCAGCTCACACCCGTACCGCCGCCGGCATCGGCACCACCGTCGCAAACACAAGCACGTGTCCAGGACCGAGGCTGCCGAGCGGCGGCGGGCTCGGTCGGCAAGCGTGCCCAGCACGCCGCGGACTGGCAGCTCCGGCTTGGTGCCGACATCGGAGCCGCGACAGCGGCGGCGGCGGCGGCGGCGACGGTACCTCAAGGCCGATTCAAAGCAGCAGACGCGCGGCCGATCGCTCTCGTCCGGGTCGGGCTCACCGGGGTGGCTGTAGTGAGGGTGCGGGAGTGAGTGTTCAATGACTGCTCGCGGCGACGGTGGACAGAGCGGCGTCGGAGATTGGAAACTGCAGCTCGTCGATGAGGTCGGCCTCGTCGACTTTGCCGAGCGAGTGGAGTGAGTGGTGGTTGGCGGCCGGCGGTGGCGACGGGGCGGCCGGCTGAGAAATCCCGGGTACGCGGTCGGGCGGATATCGCGGAAGGTCGAGGACGAGGATGGCACGGTCCGGGTCATCAGCGGCGGTGGTGAGGTCGGCTGGGCTCTCGACGCCGGTTTCCGAGTCTGTGACGACAAAGACAACCCGTGTGTTCGTCGGCTTAAACATCGAGACAAGGGCCGGCGGCGGGGTACCAGTTGGCGACGGCGGGCCCGAACCATGCTCCGACGGCTGGGTGAGCCGGAAGATCGACGGGTGCGGCGGAATGCGCCGGGCTGGGCGGCGGGCGAGAAGCGGAGGCGGGCCCGACGGCGGGCGGGGGCGCGTCGGCGGCGCAGCGGCAGCAGCAGCGACGGTGTCGGCGGCGAGGACAACCGCCGGGTCATCGGTCACACGCGCGGCACGGGCAGACGCAAGTAGGGCAGCGCGCTTGGCCTCGTCCGCAGCAAGGCGTGCGCGCATCTCTTCGGCGCGCCACTCTTGGGCACGACGGGCGCGCTCGACGCAGGCCTGTCGCTCGGCAGCAACGAGCTCACGCTCGAGCTGATCGAGACGGGCACGGGCAGCAGCGTCTTTGGCAGCCTTGGCGGCTTCCTGTGCAGCTTGGGCCTTGGCGGCCTCGCGCTGGCGGCGCTGGGCCTCCTTGGCCGCGGCGTCAGCGGCGAGGCGGTCCTGGCGCTCAGCCTCGCGGCGCTTGGCGCGCGCCTGAGCGGCTTGGCGCTCAGCGGCGCGCTTGCTCTCGAGCTCGCGCAGCCTAGTTGCCTCGCGCTCCTCTTTGGAAACCACGCGCTCGCGGCGGCGCGCAAGGATGCGCTCGGCCTTGGCGCGGTACTTTGCGGCGCGACGCTGCTTGGCCTCAATGGCACGTGCAGCGTCTGCTGCGTCTTGGGCACGAGCTCGAGCAATGGCGGCCTGGCGCTCCTCGGCGCGGCGCGCTGCGGCGGCGATGCGGGCCTTGAGCTCCTGAGCGCGCTGCTTGCGGTGCTCCTCGGCGAGACGGACGTGATACTCGCGCTTGGCGCGCTTGGCCTGGTTCTGCTCGGCCCGAGTGAAGAGGAGCGAGCGACCGGACGCGTCGCGGGTGAGGATGAGCTCACGGGCAGTCTCGAGGTCGACGTTTGGGCCAAAGTCGAGGGTGGCGTTGCCGGCGGCGGCAGCCGAGTGCTTGGCATGGCCTTCGGCGATAAAGGCGTCGAGAACCTTGCTCCGTGCCGGCGCTTTGCCCTTGCACTTGGCCAGCGCCTCGAGGAGGGCTAGCAGCGGAGCGCGCCATGGGGCCCGGCTCCGCCGGAGCCGCTCACCCGAGTCGGGCTGGCCGGCCTCCTCGGCGGCTTCGGCGCGGAGCGAGCCGAGTAGCTCGGCCTCGTGCTGAGGATCGAGCGCAAAGACGCCTGCGCGGCCATGCGAGCGGACAAAGCGAGCAGTGGCCTTGAGTTGGACCGCACGCTCGTTGGCCTTGCGTGCAGTCTCGACAGCGTCAGACCGCGCCTGCCGCTGGACCGAGGCAAGGACGCGCTGGGCGGCCTCGAGCTCAGCAGCTGATGGCGGAGCAGTCGGCTGGGCAGGCTGTGGCGGTGCGGTGGGCCCGCTCTGCGGCTGCGGCTGCGGAGACGACGACTGGGCGAGGTCGTCGCCGGAGCGAGAGCCAGAAAGGTTGATCGATGACGCCGAGAGCTGAAGCAACGAGAGCGAGCGGTTGAGTCCGGCGGGGGCGGCCGCCAGCGCGGCTCGCTTGTCCTTGGCGCGCTGGCGCTGGTGATGACGGGCAGCATGCGGCGGCATCTTGGCGATGCGGACCAGCGGCGGCGGCGCCGAAGTCGACGAGACCGGCGGCGGCGACGCCCGCATCCGACCGCGCCTCGGCGCCGCGTCTACCGCTCGGGTAGCATGCGGCTTTGCCGGCGGACGCGGCTTTAGACCCGGGGCCTCTTTCGCCCGACGCGCAGTGGGACGGGAGCGTGTCGCCGCCATCGACGACGCAGCAGTCACCGCGGCTGGCGAGGAAACGATGGCGGTGGCGAGCGCGGATTGAACAGCAGCACGAGATGAAGACGATTTCGACAGCGATCTTGCCTTGATGATATCAGCTTCTTCAGCAGCTACGGCACGGAGTAACCGCTCTCGTCTTGCTTCATAAAACTGTAGCTTCTTGGAGGCAGCCAAGTTGTAGCCATCACCTGATGAAGAGGTGAAGGACTCGAGCTCGGGCTTGACCAGTTCAGACGGAAGGATACCCAGTCGTTTGAGGGCCAGTGCTCGGATGGCCTCTTCTTCACTCGCGCGCATGGGGGAGAGGTGGAAATAGGGTGCTGGATGGGTAGTGGGTGGTGGGTGGGGTGGTGGTGGGGGGGGAGTGTGGGGTGGGTGGGGTGGGTGGAGGTGAGGTGGGTGGGGTGGGTGGTGGTCGTGGTGCGGGCGAACGGTTGTTGGCGAACAGGGTTTGGGGGGG